ATGAATGGAGCCTGCTGAAAAAGGATGGAAACAGTTCTCACCCCCAATGGTCTACTCTAATAAATATAAAAAATCTCCTGGGTACGAAAGTGGATTCGAAAAACCTTGTAATTAAGGAGCAAATGCTTGAGCCCGGGTCCTCCTACAAAATCAAGGTCGACGTTCTATCTGCAAACGGATCATTTGGCTGGGCTGTATACCAATTTGACACAGTGGCAGGTCCATCAGGAGGAACATGCCATGGTGTGCAGTTGGACAGGAAAGATGTAGGATCTTGGCTAAACATTACCTGTCATGGCTGGAGAGATGAACATATGCCACTCAGCTATGAATTCTTCCGGGAATTGGAAGATGGAGAACTCGACATGCTTTCCTATGGAGTTTGGCCACATAGTGTTGTTTATATTGCACCTATAGAAGAAGATGTAGTACGTTTTAAAGTTGCAGTTGTAAATGTTTTGGGAGCAGCATATACAACACGATTTTCTTTCAAGGTATTTATATAGTAGGTTAAGTGACTGCTTATTGATCCTGATGGCAGTTCTTAGAAAGCAATCTCGTTTGAGTATTCGCGTGAATGCGAATATGCAAAGAAAACCCATAGATCTCTTGTTTCCTGTCTTTTTTATTCACATTTTACAACCTAGGTATTTTAAACTGTCCGTTCACGATTTCTAATGGATGCCTATCCAACTTCAGTGTGCGATTCTAATAGTACACTAGATCAGAGGACACAGAAGACAGTGAAATTGACAAGTGGTCGCACTGTCAGAAATTGCATGAAAGCAACATTGATGTACTATTTTCGGAAATAACCTGTAAATGTCAATGGTCGACTTAGATATATCCGTTTTATTACCATTTTTTTAAAGTTGGATCAAACATCCTTGTTGACGGCAGAAGAAGTGGACCACAATGAGCTGGAGGCAAAAATTGCAAAAATGGACTCTTCTTTTAAAATGAAACAAACAAATATGGCAATGCAAGAGGCAGACACACTTCTTTTCTTACTCAAAATGGTCGCACAGGAGGCTGACGAAAAAACATATCTGCTGCAAGTAAGTTCCGTACATTGAACAGGTGGCTTTAAACATAAACATGTAACTGAATTAATAAAATAAATATTGAAGAAATTTTTGTAAAGGATTTTAAATTTGTCAATGAAACTCAGCTAAAAAATTTCCAATATACACATCACAAGTAAAATCGATAGACATTTTATGCATTTAAAAAATGAAGAGGATGGATACTAATCGATAACCAATAAACAAAAACAGTGACGTTTTATCTTCAAAAGAAACGCTTCCTTTTTCTTTTCTCCCTATCTAGTTTGGCCAACGGCACGTAACTGTTAGAGGACTATAGATTAAGGTTTATTTTTCTTGGCTGTTACATGTCTGCTTCCGTTTAACATGTCCTTTTTCCTTGCTGCAGAAAAATAATTACGTTATTTCTAAGATATGTGAAGTTCCGACTGATAAACTGGAGCGGTTAGTCCAGGTTGCTTCCATGTTAAAGAAAGCCACAATGGGTGACGCTCTTATCTGGAAAAATACAACGGTATGACACTGATCTCAAATTCCCTTAAGCACTTCTTCTCAGAAAGTTTTTCGACATTCCGAATTATAGCAAAGTTCACGCAAGAAGTTTTTGACAAGGAGTTAGCATAACAAAAATATATATCAACTACGTAGTAAAAAAGTCCCACCCAAAAGTATATATTGACCTTTTTTTCTTCCAGTTCACTGTTTTGGACAAATTCAAGGAGATGTCCATCTGGCTTTCACTGAAAAATGTGCACGAACGCAGTTCTGAAACTCGTCTTCTTCTTGAGGGAGCAAGACTGATGTTGCATTGCACCACAAATATCATGGATTCCAGCTCCAGACGACTCCTCATGGGTAGTTTGTTAGGCAACTTTGATAAAGGGGAAGAGGTATTTTAAAAAATACCATATGTTTCCACATTGAAGTGAATTTTACTGTAACTAACTAATTTCTCAGAATTTTAAAGACTTAAAAATTTTCATAGAGCAAACGTGAGAAACGTATTTCTAGGAGAGGGGGTTTTACACCAACCTATTGACCCATGTCGAAGAGATTTTTTAATCTCGCCAGACTAATCAAAAACTAGAGTCTAGAAAACGATAGGATAAAAAGAATTAAAGGGACGAGCTCTTACTTTCTTTTTCTAAAGGAAATTAGACAGGGCGTGATTACACACTGTATCCAAACGAACAAAGCAAAAACGGGAAAGACTTTCAATTCTCTTTTATCAATAAATAGAATGGTGCAGCCTAGTAATACATCAGAAAGGCCTCAGCCAAAGCATTGAAAATCGAAAATTCGAAAATCCGCTGAGCCTACAAATATGTTAATTCCTAGGTAAGAGAGAGGAAAATTGAATGTCCCATTTCCCTTTTTTCAATTTTTAGAAATCTCCATCCCTTTGTTCCTCCTCTTCCCAAGGATTCATTCTTGTTCTATTGGTAAGGAATGAGAGTAGCATTGAAATTTTTCATAATTTTAGATAATCATGGGAAAGACAATTTCAGCCCGTTGCCAGGAGCTGACAGAAATGACAACCAACATACTGCTATCGTTAAAGTTGCCCGGAGAAGAATACAGCACCATTCGCAATGGACTTCAATCGACGATGCTCGGCAAGCATGAATCAAATGACTTGAGCCTTTTAGAAATCAGCGATGGAAAAACCAGTTTTGTAATCCCATATCTGGATAGCAGGGCATTGAAAAGTTGGGTCGGCGACACCTCTGAGGTTGGGGTAGAGGTTTGTAACTTTTTCAGTTAATAAATCATAAAATTTATCAGCCAATCATGGTATATATTTATAAATTTGCTATATGTTTTATATTTGGCATGCTCGTGGCAATGAACTTTCCTAGAATCTCTCGGTTTTCCTTATAGGGCGGTAGGATAACCGAGTGATTTCAGAAAAAGACTTGAACAAAAATGAAAGAGGCCACAGTATTTATTGTTAGCCACTTAATAATGGTTTCGCATCGTGACGCGAAATCAGTTCTAATCCTGAAATAAGAATAACATTTTTTACAACCCTGCACTGATGATAAATCTTCAACCTCATCAATTTTATTTCCACATCCTTTCCAATGTCTTGCAGATGGTGAGCTATGATTTCAACCCATATGTGACGGACAATAGCAGCAGCAGAATAAGATCAAAGGTTGTCAGCCTTGCCCTAAAGGATGGCACTGGGAGAGCTCTCAACACAGCTGACCTTGCCTCTAACATAGAAATTGACATTCCAGTAACAAATTATGCTCCCGTGAACAGCACTCGATCGAATCATTTCTTGAATCCTGGCAGAATGCAATATCATGCGATAACCGTTCGTGAGATCAACACTACCGTAAAATTGACCATTATAATTAAAGCAACAGCTTCTATTACTGTCTATGCAAAATTCGCTGAAAAGCCAACAGAGACTTCCTACGACGAGGTGATTCACTTATCCAAGGAGAAAACATCTATTGACCCCGATTGTGAATTAGAAGAGAATTGCTCTCATAGTATCGTCGTAAAGGGTAAATATGCAGGTAAATATTACGTTGGCTTATTGGAGAACAGTGAATCTCGAAAAGAATTTCCTCCGTCAAGAGGTAGAAGATCTATTCTTCCAGGGCCAGCGATTCAAGAGAAGTGCGTCAAGTTTAAGGATCCTCCTCCGACGGTTGCTCCTCAAGTAGAGTATGTCGTTCTTGTTCCTCAGTACGACTCTGATAAGTCAGTTAACTACAGTTTACAAGTTGAGACAATATGGTGTGCATTCTGGTCTGTTGCTGAACAAAAATGGACAAATGAAGGATGCAAGGTGAAAAAAAATTTTTAGATAGAATGAAATAAGTCAGTAGCTACAAAAAACGACGAAGAATTTACTTTTCAGGTCATTTAACGGAAGTTGAATATTGGTTTTAAGCTTTGGTTTGTTTTGGAGATGAAAAATAGCTTTATTCTCACTTACTATTCTCAGTATGTCAATCTAATCCTTTTCAAGATAGCAGTTGTAACCAGTGGGTGTTCTCCAGAGCCAAGATACATGGGCAATATAGCTGGCAGAAAAAAAACTTCATCATCAACTACAACGGATACTTTTTTATATTGGCGGATAAGTAGAAACAATAACCCAAATTATTACATATCTAAACTATCCGTTAGCAATTTTCCTCCGAAACTACTGTGGGTGAAGTCTTGATTTACTACTTCGTTGTCTAAGATACAAAAGCTGTCATTTTTTGCCGAGAATAGAGAACTCGAGCCAATTTTTCCCAGAGCTCTGAATCGTTTTCAGAAATTCCTGTAGCAATGTTCGTGTTTACAGACTTTATAGGAGGTGGGCTATGTAACTCATTCAGCTAAATACTGAAAGTTGTTGCATTAAAGTTATTTTCCTCTTGGACTTGAAGTAATTTAAAATTAGAACAGTAAACTGACCTCCATTAATGCTCGGACTAATTTTTAGGTTAGCCGAAAATCAAATCATTCTTCTCTGAAATGTCTCTGCAATCACTTGACTGCATTTGGGGGAGATATTCTTGTTGCACCAAATACCATTGACTTTCAACTGGTCCAGCAGGCATTTGACAACGTGGATCCTGATGACCTTCTAGTCTTGATAACACTGTGTTCTACCTTTCTGTTCTACTTTCTTGTTTTGGTAAAAGCACGCAGGGCTGACAAAGTGGATGCCACAAAGGTTGGTGTCATGTCATTAAAAATTATTCGATGACACTGGAGATACTATGAGGATACTGAATTCAAACAACGAAATGATCAAGAAAAGATCGTTACAATTGAGTTACAGTAACAGAAATCAAAGAAAAGATCTTTAAAAAAAATGAAGCTTCCCGTCGATGTCTGATTTTGTTTTTGTTTCTTTGTGATTCGTTAATCGCATCACGCCTGCGCGGATCATTTCTTTGCTAAGAAAGCTTAACTAGTTAACAGCTAAGATTTTTGATAATTTTAATTTAATGGACCATTTAACTTTTACACTTACAGTCATTTCAGGAAAAAAAATTTAGAGATGAATAACTTCTGAAACCCTCGCTACTGTGATTCACGTCATGTTTCGATTTCTTCCACAGCTATTTTGTAATACCTTCGTTGATTAGGCCAGACGCCGAATAAAGCCTTTGTTAAGACAAGCTTAATATACAACAAACTTTGACGGTTTCTTGTACACCCGAACACTAATTGTCTGACAGTGTTTAATTTTTAACCGATCTGCCTTTCTTTAGGACAGTCCTCTTCTGCCCTTGGTAGGGCATCACGAGGGTGAATATATGTACGAGGTGTCCATAACAACTGGCAGATGGAAAAGTTGTGGTACTACTGCCAATGTATCCATGACCCTTCACGGGACTGAAAATACCAGTGACGTTATCAAATTGACATGCGACATCCCACGTAACAGGACGCTATTTGCTCAAGGGAACACTGATAATTTCCTTCTCCGACAAGATATGCCGCTAGGCGAGATAAATTTTGTGCAGATTGGTCATGACCTTTCTGGAGAGGACCCATCTTGGTTTATCAGCGAGATTGTGGCTTTGGATTGTCAAACGGGACAGCAATGGCTGTTCAGTTGTCACCGCTGGCTTGCACTAGAAAGAGATGACGGTGAGATCACGAGGAGATTTTATGCAGATGATTTCAAAACAGATGATAAATTTAAAAGAAAATTTAGTACATTACGAAGAAATGGTTTTGCTGACGATCACTTGTGGTTGTCAGTGTTTTGGAAGCAACCAAGAGATCACTTCACTCGTGTTCAGCGAGCATCCTGTTGTTGGAGTCTTCTCTTGTTGTCAATGGTAACATCCGCCATGTTTTATGAAACA